TCCCTATTGCAGTGTGTTTTCACCTTGATATAATCAATCAGTATTTATTGAAAATCTAATATGCATTCAACACTACTTGAAATGATAGGAGATAGAGGAAAAGTAATACACATGGTGTCACCTACCATGACACACATGATAGGTGACATTCATATAAAAGACACACTGCTAGGGGTTGTGGCATAAATCAGATCATCTGGTCAAGGGAGCATACTGGAATTCAAATAAGTGACAGAAGTGTTATCTAAAGGGAATCTTGAATCTATCCATATATATCATTCATTCACAGACTTGGTACTTTTTTTATTAGTAACAAATTACTTGCTGTATATTATAATTTACCATGGCACACCAGTCTGTTATGAAGTGACAGTTGAAAACTGCTGTGTTGGAGCTTATGACAGTAGGAGGGACAGGATTTACTGCTATAAAATAACTGAATAATTCAGGATAATATAAAATATACTGAAATGGGATATGCATTATTACTGCTCCTTGAGGGCTTTTATAGTCAAGGAAAGCTTTGTGGAGAAAATGGCTACTGAAAAAAACAGATAGCATATCAGCCCAGGTTCTTAATTGTAAGGAAGAGAAATACAATCTGATTGATTTTAAGCAGAAAAGAATTTATTAAAAAGATACTGGGATGTAATGCATATCTTTTGGCGCCACAGTTTCATTCCTAGTTATACAGCCAACACACACACATACATGTGTTTACCAATATATGGAAGAATGTTTGCAACAGTGTTTGTAATAGAATCAAACCAGAAACTATCTAAATGTCCATTAAAGGTAGCATAGATAAGTAGTTTCTTTTTCTTTTTCTTTTTTTTCTTTTTTTGAGACAGAATTTCATTCTTATTGCCCAAGCTGGTGGAGTGCATTGGTGCAATCTTGGCTCACTGCAACCTCTGCCTCTCAGGTTCAAGTGATTCTCCTGTGTCAGCCTCCTGAGTAGCTGAGATTACAGGCATGCGCCACCATGCCCAGCTAATTTTTACATTTTCAGTAGAGGCGGGATTTGGCCATGGTGGCCAGGCTGGTCTCAAACTCCTGACCTCAAGTGATCCGTGCTCCTCGGCCTCCCAAAGTGCTGGGATTACAGGCCGGAGCCACCACACCTGGCCTGTATTCACCTGATCATAGAAGGTTATACAGCAGTGAGCACAGACTGCAATTATGCACAGCATGGGTGAATCTCACAAAACTTAAAATTGAGTGAAAGAAACCAGACACAAAAGAGAGCATAGTGAATGACTTTATTTATATCAAGTTGAAAAATGGATAAAATTAATCTATAGTGTTAGAAATGAGGATAATGGTTACCCTTGCGAAGGGAATAGTAACTGGAAGGGGAAATAAGGAGGGCTTTGGAGGTGTAGTTGACCCTTGAACAACACAAGTTTGAACTGTGTGGATCTACTTATACATGGGTATAAGGCTCAAGCGATTCTCCTGCCTCAGCCTCCTGAGTAGCTGGGATTACAGGTGCCCACCACCAAGCCCAGCAAATTTTTAGTGGAGATGGGGTTTCACCATGTTGGCCAGGCTGGTCTTGAACTCCTGACCTCAAGTGATCCGCCCACCTTGGCCTCCCAAAGTGCTGGGATTACAGGTGTGAGCCACTGTGCCCAGCCCTCCTTATGATTTTCTTAACATTTTCTTTTCTCTAGCTTTATTTTCAAAACACAGTATATAATACATATATAACATACAAAATATGTGTTAATTAACTGTTTATGTTGTTGGTAATGCTTCCAGTTAACAGTAGGATATTAGTAGTTAAGTTTTGGGGGAGTCAAAAATAATATGCAGATTTTCAACTGTGCAGTGGGTCAGCACCTGTTCTGGTAATGTTCTGTTTCTTGATACAAGTGGGTTTGGTTTGTGAAAATTATTTGAGCTGTAGACTTAATATTATGTGCACTTTTCCCTTACATCTGTTATACTGTGCCTGTTTCTGTACATATGTTACATATGAAATGTTTATTAAAGGGGTATATTGGGTAACTCAGAATTTCTGGTGCTCCTGGCTATATATACCAAATCCCAATTCAGGATTCAACAACCCAGATCATGCCACTGAACTGCACTACCACTGCCAAGTGTGAAATTGCAGCTTGCTCTGCTGGCCTTGTTGCCTGGGAGCTTGATCCTGCTTCTGCTACTCCACACCTGCCTCCCAACCTGTTCCATTCCTGGCTCCATTTGCAGCCCTCCTTTCAACGTGTGGGGTGGATACCTTTGTTAGGCAGAGCCTAGCACAAGTGGTCCTCCTTACTGCAAGGGAGTCTGTGAAAGCAAGTATCCAGTGTTTTCAGCTTTTATAGTGGGTGGTGATTTCTGCCAGAAATTGTAACAAGGGGACAAGGGGTATTTCAGATTTGGGGCAACCAAAAAGAGAGGAAAATCCATCTTTGAGGTGAGCATTTAGGCCAGTAGAAGAAAATAGACTTCAGGTGTTAGGAACAATAGAAGCCCAGGGTAGAGGTTGAATAGAGTATGGCATTTGAGCCCGGTGGAAACAAGTTTAACTGGATTAAAGGGTGTGCTCTGGGAAAATAGTTTGAGAAAGGTTGAAGCAATAGGATGGGACAAGATTAAAGATTACTTTGAAAGTCAGGCAGAGGAATTTAAATTTCATATGGGAATTTTGGAACCAGTAAAAGTTTTTGAACAAGAAAGTGTCGTAAAAGGAAATGGTGCTTAAGGATTGTTAATCTGGCAGCACTTCTAGGGGTATCTAGGCATTGTTTGTCATAATTTAGGTATGGGGTGATAGATTGGGAGTAGAAATAAAAGGCAAAGATTGGATTTAAGAGAAGATTTGAAGGAAAAAAAATCAACAAGACTTCTTGAAGAGAAAGAAGTAGAGGCTATTTCTGAAACTGAGCTTGAGTGACTGATCCCACTCTTCATTTAGAGCTAGCGAGGCTGAGGAGGGACCCAGTTTGGGGGAAGTAGAAGAATGAACTTTAGTTTGAGAATTGCTGAGTTTGAGGTGAGAGATACTGAGTAAAAGTGGTCCCTGTGTAGTTAGAGTTGGGGACCAAGAAGTGGAAAGAATTGTACTCCCAGGCATAAAGGCTGTGAAGGGAATGGAACAGAGTGTGCCAGAACCCTCGGGGTGTTTCTGAGCTCTTGTTTACAGGCCACCAGGTATACTATCTTGAATTTGATTTCGAGTGATACGTTTGAACCACAACCTCTACCTTCTGTTTCATAAAACGTCAGTTCTCACACCCCAAGACACATTGATGCTATCACTATTATACATGGTCTTCTTCCTGTTATTCTAATATCTTTGGAAAGAAAACGATTAATACATTTGAGGCTTTTCTTGGTTATTTTCAATACTTTTGAATGCTTTGAATACAAGGAGAATAATATACTAAAGCTAGAGACCTTAAACAAGACCAAGAAAGACTGAATATAAAAAGCAAACCTCCAGTTCATTAAAATTGTAAGTTGGAGCTCTTGGCTCCACGGCAGGGAGCCTTGGATCAGTAAGTGTGACAGCTCCCTTCCGTATTGTACTTAGAAAAGAATGATCATAAAACCTACTTAGGCCTCACAAGGTCTTTTTGAGCCTTAGCCAATGCATTTAGTCACTGTCAGTAACCACAAGCTTTAGTATAATATTCTGGCTTGCAAAGCAGCCAGGTCTCCAGAGCATGACGATAGGCTCTTGTATACGACTTGAATGCTGTTGCCGAGGCATACCTTCTTGATATTCATCTTAGCACTTTTCTCTAGTCTATAGCATGTCCGTACCTGTAGATGACAGTGGATTGCTCAGATATTATTAAAGAGTATGCAAGTATCTTAACAGGAAACAGCTTACTCTTTGGGTAATGTGTGATACAGTGAAGAAAATCCCTTAAATGGTTGCTCAATATTTATGCTGCTGGCATGTGTGCTGGAATATTTTTTCACCTCTGAATTCGTATTTTGAGTTCTTGGGCTCTTCAGTTTAATAGGTAATGTTTCTGTGTTTAAGTGTAGAAGATCAATCATGTTAGCTGAAAAGTCCCAAGGCTTTTCTGTCTCTGTAATATTTCTCTGCCTAAAGAGGTAGCAGGTTGAAAATTTAGGAAGTAACTTTGTGTCAAAAAAATTCATCAGCCTTTCTAATCAATTAGATTTTAAAGTGAAACAAAGTGATAAACTTTGCATTTATAAGAATTCATGTTTTTCTTACGGATTTAACAGCCCTTTGCAACTCTGCTTCCTTGGTTACATGATACTCGGAAAGAATATCTGATCACATCAGAATAAAATCGTTTGAGAAGACATCCATGTGTCATAGGTTATGTAGCTTGCAACAGGATTTAAAGCAACAAGATGATAGAATCTATCATTATTTTTGCAGAGAATGTTTCACCAGCTGGTTTGAGAGGAGTTTTACACCCCTACCAGGCTTTCTCTTACCTCATTTACCTCAAAAACCACAAGTCCTAACAGGCAAACTGTAATAGCCTAAAACAAAACTAGTAAGGTATAAATGCATGTGGAAATGATTATTTGAAGGTAAAAGGCACATAAATGTCACCAGTCTGAGCCATTACCTAAGCATCCTGGGTCTAGTAACCATTCTTTTGGTAAGGGATAATGCCAACTTTTTTATCAATAGGATTCTGTTAAAAATACAAAGAAAAACAGCAGGATACTATATATACACACACATACATATATATACATATGTATACATATACATATATATGTATGTGTATATATATAGTATCCCGCTGACTGCATGTATATGTATATACATACATATGTATATATGTATATATGTATGTATATATGTGTGTATATATGTATGTGTATATATATAGTATCCTACTGACTGCTGACATATATGTATGTGTATACAGAGATATACTTTTGTTTCATTTTAGAGCTGGTTGAACTTCAGTGGTGGATAGAGCTTGTTTTTAATTTATATGTATTTTTGTAGTACAATTTTAAAATCTTATTTTTTAAAATAAATCCAGGAGCTGTGCAGTCTTACGCATTGGAACTTAATTTGACAGATTCAGGAAAAGCCACTTGCCTTTATGCAAAATGGCAGATGAATTTCACAGTACGCTATGAAACTACAAATAAAACTTATGTAAGTATATATTTTAATTTTTCTTTGAGTTTTATAGTAGGAATTTAATTGACTTTTTTAATCCTTTAGATACATGTATACAAATGAAATTCCACATTGACTGACTTAATGCTTAAACTCTGGAAGTTTTTTTAAGCATATACACTCGGAAGTTATTCTGTTTAGTGTTAGAATGAATATTTCTTCTGATTCATTGGTTCTTGGGAGTTTTTGTAGGACTTGATTAAGGGCAAATGATCTGAAGATGACTATATGGTGTTCAGGTCTAACTATTTCTGTAAAGTGTTTAAAATGTACTAGCACCAAAGCTTGCCCTTTTAAAAAATAGCTTCCCTTCTGGGCGTGGTGTCTCATGCCTGTGATCCCAGCATTTTGGAAGGCCAAAGCGGGAGGATTGCTTGAGCCCAGCCTTGGCAACATAGTGAGACCTCATCTCTACCTAGAAAAAAATTTAAAAATTAGCCAGGCATGGTGGCATATACATGTAGCTCCAGCCACTTGCCAGGTCGAGGGGGGAAGATTGCTTGAGCCCAGGAAGTTGAGTCTGCAGTGAGCGATGGTTGTGCTACTGCACTCCAGCCTGGGCAACAGAGCGAGACTCTAGCTCAAAAAAAAAAAAAATGCTTACTTAGGTTGGTACAAAAGTAATTGCCATTAAAGGAACAAACCACAATTACTTTTGCACCAACCTAAGTAAGCGATTCTTTTTGGCACAAACTGCAATTACTTTTGCACCAACCTAACACTAAAATCTTCCCCTTTTTGGTGCCTCCTCTTAATCCCTTTGCCTTCTTATTTTCTTTTTGTTAAGGTCGTGACTACTTACAACCTAATTTTTTTAAAAATCAGTTTAAGAACAGCAGCTCAAGCCAGTTTTCCTTTTCTTTTTAGACATACATGAATTTATCCAGAGGAGTGGTATGTAGCTGAAGAATCAGGGACTGGTTTACACAGCAAACCAGGCAAAGGGCAACCTGGCCACGGAGAATGTATGATTTAGGCTGAAGTGGCATGCCCTGCATAAATGGTTGGTGCTACTTGCTCCCTGTTTGTTTCTCACCCCCAAATTTCTATTTCTTTTAGAAAACTGTAACCATTTCAGACCGTGGCACTGTGACATATAATGGAAGCATTTGTGGGGATGATCAGAATGGTCCCAAAATAGCAGTGCAGTTTGGACCTGGCTTTTCCTGGATTGCGAATTTTAGCAAGGCGGCATCTACTTATTCAATTGACAGCATCTCATTTTCCTACAACACTGGTGATAACACAACATTTCCTGATGCTGAAGATAAAGGTAACCTTAAGAATGGATGTGTGTTATGTTCTCTTGCTTTTTATTAATGATAATGTAAACAATTTAAAAATTGTTATGAATGTCTGTCTTCCTAACTAGCATGGAAACTTCATGTCTTTATACCCCTCCCACCGACCCCATGCATAGCACATATGCCGCCATCCAACACACTGATGATATTTGCTGTCATTGCTTGAGTGACTTACTGTATACCAGGTATTACCCTAAGTGTGTCACCTGCAGCATCTCACTTAATTCTTAACAGCAACCTTGGGAAGTAGATGCTGTTTCATTTTTATAGGTAAAGGAAATGAGACTCGATAAGATTAAATGACTTCCAAACATCTCACGATCTAGTAAGTGGGTGAGCTGGTGCTTGAAGCAGTCTGTTGACCTGCAGAAGTTGTATACTTAACTCTTACTGATTTCATTCAGTAGTGGGCACGAAACAAAGGTTTGATGAATGAGAAAATGCTTTACTAATAGCTACTTTATTTTCAAGATGGGGAGTCTCACTATGTTGCCTAGGCTGGTTTCGAACTCCTGGGTTCAAACGATCCTCATGCCTCACAGCCTCCTGAATAGCTGGGACTACAGGCATGCACCACTGCACCTGGCTACTAATAGCTATTTTAAATGTGTACAAGTTAAGTAACTTGAGATTAGGAGAAATGCCTCTTGTTCAAATCTTTTTATCCTTTAGGTTGGATTTTGATTGAAAAGCAAATGATGATTAGTTAAAGGTATAGTAGTCCCTCATTACACTCAGGGGGTATCATTCTAAGACCTCCAGTAGATTCCTAAAACTGCAGTTAGTACGGAACCCTATACAGGAAATGCTATGTTTTTTTGATCTGATAACCAAGATGGCTACTAAGTGACTAAATGGATGGATAGTGTAGACAATGTTGATGTACTGGATAAAGGCATGATTCATGTTCCTGGTTGGGCAGAGTGGGACAGCAAGAGATTTCATCATGCTACTCAGAACGGCATACATTTTAAAACATGAATTGATTACTTTTGGAATTCTCCACTGAATATTTTCAGAGCTCAATTGACCATGGGTAACTGAAACCAGGGAAAGCAAAAACTGGATAAGGGGAGACTAAAGTCAACATTTGCTGTTATTTTAAGACAATTTCAGGTCAAAATGAACTTGGGAAGGCATCGGCAATTAGGCCATTCTAGTAATTCCCAGAACTGAAATGCATGTTAAAATATTTTGAAGATATAGAGTGTAGAGGTTTTATTTTATTTTATTTTTTTGAGCTGGAATCTCACTCTGACGCCCAGGCTGGAGTGCAGTGGTCTGATCTCAGCCCACTGCAACCTCTGCCTCAAGCAATTTTCCTGCCTCAGCCTCCTGAGTAACTGGGATTACAGGTGTGTGCCACCACACCCGGCTAATCTTTTTTAGTAGAAAGGGGGTTTTGCCATATTGGCCAGGATGGTCTCGAAATCCTGACCTCATGATCCACCCACCTCAGCCTCCCAAAGTGCTGGGATTACAGGCTCGAGCCACCGTACCTGGTCGAGATTTTAATTTTGTTAGGGATGTAATTCTCTTCTTTCTCCCCCTGCCCGTTGAGACTGAGTTAATGTGGTATTTGTAGTAGCTTAGCTCTTCACACAGATAGTGTTTCATTTTGACCCCAGAAACACAGGTAGATGGACTTTAGTTGCCTAGACCTGGGGATTAATAACTCATTTGGACTTATGGATATCAAAAGATCATATTTGAAAGAACCAAAGTAAATAAGCTCATGTAAAACTTGGGAGGTATTGCAGAATGAGACTTGGAGATCAAATCCTAGTGTTCTTTTCACTAATCTCTTAGTTTGAGAGTATAACTAAAGCAAATGGTTATTGCCTATCTTATTAGTTTATCTTTGTACCCTGTTTTACCTTTCAGAGCTAGTATAAGATTTGCCCCTCACTTTCAAGTAGCCTAAGAATGAGCTGGGGAGACAAAGCTAAATGCTATTCCTGAGTTACATGGAAAAATTGGAAAACATTGAGCTCAGTCTGATTTTGTTGTTGTTGTTGTTTGCGTTTTTGTTTGAGGGAGTAGAGGGTTCATAAATCTCTTCTGACAGTGTGAGGAAAACTTTAGACTCCCTCTGAGAAAAGAAAAAGTACACAGTAAACTTTGCATATGGAACATAGTCCCTGAACCCATATGTAGATCCCTGTGGTTAAGAGTGCCTGATTTAGGTCGAGCATGGTGGCTCATGCCTGTAATCCCAGTACTTTGGGAGGCCGAGGCAGACTGTTCACTTGAGCCAGGGAGTTCAAGACCAGCCTGGGCAACATAGTAAGACTTCGTCTCTACAAAAAAAAAAAAAAAAAAGACTGGCTGATTTAAAAGTGTTCCCACAAGTGGTCCTGATTAGGAGGAGTGATAAAGGAAGGCTTAGTGTGTGTTAGAGTAGTGAGAAAGCTTGGTAGAGAAGTAGGACCTGAGCTGAAACTCAACTGATGGTAGAATTTGAATAAGTGGAGGATTTTGAGCAGGATGTTTCCAGCAGGGGGAAGCATAGCATATGCGGCAGTAATTGGAGAGCTGCCTGATTAAATCAGAGGCTGTGTGTGTAGCAGAAGGAAAATAAAGTTGGTTAAATGCAGTGGGCCTAAATTATAGGGACCTTGGAAGCCAAGGAAAGACATTTAGCTTCATGGGGTAGGCACTGGGGAATCATTTTAGGTTTTTAAAGCAGGAAAATGATATAACAAAAGCAGAGACAGTAGCTTATAAAGAATATTCTGCAGGATTAGTTGAGAAGTGAGGAGACTGCAGGCAGAGATACCGGCTTAAGAAGCTGTTATAGTAATCAAGGGCTGATGTAATAAATGCCTGGACTATGGGGGCAGCAGTTGTTAGCAGTTATTAGGAGGAGGTGTTTAATCTGACATATTTGGATAGAAAAACTATGGACCCTGAAATGTTAACACTTCTCTCTTTCCCCCTTTATTTAAAACAAAGGGAAGATTACTTTTTAAATTAGTACCTTCTGTGTAATAATATTTGAAACTATTTGGAATGCTAAATGGCTTCCTATAATGGACTATTGATAATTGTTTTTGATATAGTTCAGTGTTTCAAGAATACTAATTTATGGCCGGGAGTGGTGGCTCACACCTATAATCCTAGCACTTTAGGAGGCTGAGGCTTGTGGGTCATTTGAGGTCAGGAGATCCGAGACCAGCCTGGCCAACACGGTGAAACCCTGTCTCTACTAAAAATACAAAAATTAGCCAGGTGGTAGTGGCGCGTGCCTGTAATCCCAGCTACTTGGGAAGCTAAGGCAGGAGAATTGCTCGAACCCAGGAGGCGGAGGTTGTGGTGAGCCAAGATTGCGCTACTGCACTCCAGCCTAGGTGACAGAGGGAGACCCTGTCCCCTACTCCTCCCCCCCAAAATACTAATTTAGGCCAGGTGCAGTGACTCATGCCTGTAATCCCAACACTTAGGAAGGCCAGGCAGATCGCTTGAGCTCAGGAGTGTGAGACCAGCCTGGGCAACATAGTGACACTCTGTCTCAAAAAATAACAATAAAAAACCACTAATTTATTTTTAGGCATCTGATAATTGAAGTAACATTGAAGTTGCTTTATTCTTTTTAAAAATTTTTTCATGATTAAAATATAGAAATGTACTGGCCAGGTGTGTTGCTGGCTCATGCCTGTAATCCCAGCACTTTGGGAGGCAGAGGCAGGCAGATCACCTGAGGTCAGAAGTTCGAGACCAACATGGCGAAACCACATCTCTACTAAAAATACGAAAATTAGCTGGGCGTGGTGGCGTGTGCCTGTAATTCCAGCTACTTGGGAGGTTGAGGCATCGGTTGAACCTAGGAGGTGGAGGTTGCAGTGAGCTCAGATCACGCCACTGCACTCCGGCCTGGGCAACAGAGCAAGACTCCATCTCAAAAAAAAAATTATATATATAAGTTACATATATAATAAGGGTTTCTTAAAAGGCCCTACATATATATACACAAATATTCTATATATATAAAGATTATATATGTATACAGAGAATAATATAGCAGACCCATATGTACCCATTATCCAGAATTCATAAATGCTGTTTTTTTAATGTCTGTGTCACTGTTTGATTAAAAAGATAAAACGTTGACGATACAGTTTATATTTCCTTTGTCTTCACTCCCCAGACCCATTTTACTCCTTGCCTGCTAAGAGGGTATATTTGGGGTATAACCTTCCTGTCTTTATGTTTGTTTTTCACTACATAAGTACATGTTCATAAACAATACATAGTTAAAAAAAGCTATTCATAGTATAACTCCAATATGTTTGCAAGTTGTCTTTTCACTCATTTGTTTTTGAAGTCGGTCTATATACAGCCAGTTCACGTATCTATTCATTTTTGTTAATGGTGAGAAGCAATTCTGGGAAAAATGTTCTAGTTCATTGTTTTTTGTTTGTTTGTTTGTTGTTGTTTTTGTTTTTTCTTAATTCCTATGGCCATTAGGGGGTGCCAAGGCAGCATTATATGGCTGCTTGCTACATGATGGAGAGGCACAGAAGGCGGCATATATTAAGGACCTTGGATACTTTTCCTTTCTTGCTACTTCTCCAAAAGAAGCCAAACCACTTAGGTGACCATCATCTTTTGAAGTTTCACTATACGCAGGCTAATAAAAACTATACGAAATGGCTGTAACTTACTGCTTTCATATTCTGAAGATTCCCTGAAATTGAATCATCTTTAAATTTAATCCAGGAAGAGGTTCTATAAGCTCATTGGAGTTAATATAACTTACTTGGGACTAGTAAAACGAAAATAAGGATTTACTATACAAATCCATGATTAATCCATCTCTCTTGCTTCCTTAGTTACAGTCACTAAGTCCTGTTGATTCTACCATAGATAAGTGTTTTCAGTTTGGCTTCTTTGCTCTCTTTCTGCTGCCCCACACCATCTTAGTTTAGGCAACCCTCCCTTACCCTTCACCTTAACCAGACCATCACCCTCTGGTTTCCCTCTTAAGTGGCTTCCCTGAAAAGTTTTCCCCCATGCCTATCCCCTACAAATTTGCTATCTTCCTTAAAATAAATTATGTATGTGTCATTTCCTGCTTTAAAAACGGAAGCTAGCCCTCCACTGCTAAAAAGAAAAGCCCAAACTGGCCTTAGGTCATAGAAGATGCTTCAAAGTATCGTTACTTGCAACTTGTCTTTCCTTCTCAACCCCCATTTATTTTTCTTTTTTTTTCTTTTTTCTTTTTTTTTTTTTCTTTTTTGTCTTGAGACAGAGTTCTGCTCTTGTCATCCAGGCTGTAGTGCAATGGGCGATCTCGGCTCACTGCAACCTCCACCTCCCGGGTTCAAGTGATTCTCCTGCCTTAGCCTCCCAAGTAACTGGGATTACAGGTGCCTGCCACCGCGCCCAGCTAATTATTGTCTTTTTAGTAGAGACAAGGTTTCACCATGTTGGCCAGGCTGGTCTCAGACTCCTGACCTCAGGTAATCCACCCGCCTCAGCCTCCCAAAGTGCTGGGATTATAGGCGTGGGCCACCGTGCCCAGCCCCTAACCCCCATTTCTTCTTCCCCCTTACTCCTTATCCACAGTGAACTGGTCATGCCCTTGAGCATGCTATACCCTTTGTCACTTTAGGCCTGGGGTAGGGCAGGCAGAGAGAAGAAGAAAGCCTATACAAATATATCTACATTATCATTTTTCTCCTACCTTCTTGGAAATAGCCATTGTTAATCTTGTTTTATAGGAATTATTACTGTTGATGAACTTTTGGCCATCAAAATTCCATTGAATGACCTTTTTAGATGCAATAGTTTATCAACTTTGGAAAAGAATGATGTTGTCCAGAACTATTGGGATGTTCTTGTACAAGCTTTTGTCCAAAATGGCACAGTGAGCACAAATGGTGAGTACTTAAAGTATATATTTCTCTACTTGGATCCTAATTTAAGAGTAGAGTATACCAGGTAGCCTTCATTGAAGTCATTATCTGAAAGCATTTATGTATTAAGGTTTATTCATAGCTTCTACTAGGCTATAAAGTTTTTGTAAATAATAGCAATTCGTATTATTGTGGAACTTACAATTTAAAGTTTTTGATGTACAAGTTGTGGAATAGTCTTTAAAAAGACACTAGCTATACTGTTCTCAGCTGATAAAACCTAATCATTGTTTGAACAGCTCCTCGGATAGCTTGATTATCAGCTTTTTTTTTTTTTTTTAGCAGTTCCAAGACCAAAGCTTAGAAATCAGATGCATGTTCTAATCTTGAATTTTTAAAGTTGATTTTGTAATTTTTATATAGCTTTATGGAAAGGTAATAATTTCTCATTCACCAGTGCTGGAAAACTACTGACACTTCCTAAGAAGAGGTTGAAATGCCTATGATTTACCATAGGGCTAATGCAAATAAATGGTTCATTTGTATTTAAGTCCTTTGATGATTTCTAAGCTTTTTTCTGGTAAACAGTATCCTTCATTATGGTGGTTGTATGTGGGAATAAAGAACCAAAAAATTTAAGACTTAAATCTCTGAATTTCATATCAGGCAGGCAAAGTTCTTTGGGAATAAAAAGATTTAAGGGTCTGAAAAAGATGAGTATGTGGCCATGTGTGAGCTGATAAAGCATATGGATGTGTCCTGAGTTTGTCTGCTGTGTCATAACTCATATAGATAGTCTGTATATGAAGCAGCAGTTTAAGAACCTCTGCCTAATTTAGTTTCACATATACTAACAAGATATTTTCTTCCCCTAATATAACCCTTTTGGACTTCTATTATGAGAAATTTTTTTGGTTTTCCCTGGCCTTATGAATTAAGAAAATGTCCACTTTGGTTTCTTTTGTCCCTTTTTGCTTGTTTTAGAGTTCCTGTGTGATGAAGACAAAACTTCAACAGTGGCACCCACCATACACACCACTGTGCCATCTCCTACTACAACACCTACTCCAAAGGAAAAGCCAGAAGCTGGAACCTATTCCGTTAATAATGGCAATGATACTTGTCTGCTGGCTACCATGGGGCTGCAGCTGAACATCACTCAGGATAAGGTATAGGTGTCTATTTTTATCAATACATCCTTTTTGTATTTCATTTCAAATATTCCATATCCTACCTTCAGCCCAAAGGTAGTAGAATGGTTCAGTTTTTTGTCTTGTTTTGTTTTGTTTTTTTGAGACAGAGTCTCGCCCTGTCGCCCAGGCTAAAGTGCAGTGGCATGATCTTGGCTCACTGCAACCTCCACCTCCAGGGTTTAAGCGATTCTCCTGTCTCAGCCTCCTGAGTAGCTGGGATTACAGGCGTGCACTGCCACGCAAAACTAATTTTTTTGTATTTTTAGTAGAGATGGGGTTTTACCATGCTGGCCAGGCTGGTCTTGAACTCTTGACCTTAAGTGATCCACCCGCCTCGGCCTCCCAAAGTGCTGGAATTACAGGCATGAGCTACCACACCTGGCCTGATTAAGTTTTAAATGGAGATTTTATGTTGGCTTGTTGAACTTTGATTAGTTAGGAGTTACTATAACCATGAAGTGCTAATGTCACTTTCAGGTGTTGTGTTGGCCGGCAGAAAACCTAGCAGTTTAAAGTACTCTTTGGGGTTTAGATTCTATTTGCCATCAGTGGATCAGAGTACAAACAATTGACCTTTATTTCGGTCAGTTTAAAATATAACTTCTTCACACTTTGATCTGAAATGCAGTGTAGGTTGGCGTACAGGAATGGCACAGCTATCCGTCTCTCCAGCTATTTGATGACTCGGATAGTGTAGATATGCTCAAGTACATGATGGCACTTCTAGTTGCAATGTTCCACTGAGGCTATAGAGGGAAGGAGTGCCAAGGAACAAATCCGATTTCCAGGATCCTGTGACTTAAACAAGCGAAACAGATGGCTCTTGTGCTCCATAAAAATGTGTGTTTTCATTTGGCTCATTACTGTAGAAGCTTTCCTCTTGTTTTTTTTTTTAAGTCATCTGAGTCATAGCTTGAGGACCCACGCCAACTTTGTTTGAAAGTTAAGACACCATGAATTTAAGTATCCAGACAAAAGATTTTTTGTTCTACGCTGCAGTTGGTTTTGGTAGCATATAAGGCTTTGCTGGCCACTTTTATAGCTAACCTGTACCTTTTCCCTTTTTTCTTCTCTTGAAGGTTGCTTCAGTTATTAACATCAACCCCAATGCAACTCACTCCACAGGCAGCTGCCGTTCTCACACTGCTCTACTTAGGCTGAATAGCAGCACCATTAAGTATCTTGACTTTGTCTTTGCTGTGGTGAGTAACAGATTTTTCTAAAGTTAGGTTCATTCTCTTAGAAACACATCTGAAAGTCTAAATAATTGCATGGGGAGAGGGGGATATTTAGCTTTATTTTCCAGTTCTACAGTACTCAATTATAAAGTGTAGTCCATTCATCCCTCAGAGTCTGTGCAATGATCTGTGGACTGGACTCTTGCATTAATGTTCACCAAGAGTGGCCATTTTGCCATTATACAGACTCTAGGGTAGGAGCAAGAATTAACCCACATCAAAAAAACACAATTGTCTAATCTATCCATATATAAGTAATTTCCATGATAATTTTTTCTCTGTTATTAGTTAGGTGATGCTCATGTTTTTCTGTGATACTATTTTAAGCCATTTGGAGGCTATATTATTTGTAATAGTGTCAGTAATAAAAATAGGTAACATTTATTGAGTACTATGTACAAAGCTCTTTGTAAGTGTGTATATGAATTCATTAAATCAGGACAATTTATAATGGCAGCATTCAGGTTTTTGTTGTTGATCAAGAGCTGAAACCTAAACAGAAGGTTTTGGGTTAAGCATACCTGTTCTACTTCTTGCTAGCATAAATTAATCATTGGGGACCTTTATTTCCACCTTCTCAGAAGCAATTATTATTCCCATAATTTCTTTGAGGGGATGTATGTGTGAACATGTTGTGGCAAATGAGACTGGTGGAATAGAAGATAGCTATAAGTGAGGGAAAATGTTGAACCACCAACTATTCTCAAACTAAAAATATTGTATAATTAGATAAAAACCAATTCTGCTTTTAAATCAGATTACTGTGTTTGGGGATGGGGAAATAATCTCAACATCTGATACATAAAAAGTAGGTATGTTGTTATTTCATATGTGAACTTGGTATTTTGAATCTAAAGCACATTTTTCTCTTTAGAATATATGCCGAGTAATTGAGGATTACATTAAATGCTTACATTTTGGAAAGGTTTACGAAAATCTTCCTTTTTCCAGCATTCAAATAATTCCTCTGTTAAGTACCATGTGACCGGTGAATTACTATTGAAAATGTCTAATTAAACTTGTCCTCTCCATTATGGTAAAAGCAAGCCTCAGGCACATTCTCTTTTAAAGTTACCTCATAGGGGCTGTGGTCAATAAGAATGAGGAAAGTAGTATTTTGGGTTTATTCCCTTTCAAGTGATTGAGTTTGATCTTTCTAGCTGTAGTAGACTCCTAAAAGGAACGTGATTTCTCTTGACTCTTATATGGCAATGTTTAGTATTTAAGAACTACAATATTTAAGTTACCCAGCAGGCTATTTTAAAATGTAATCCAAAATAGTGACATTTTAATCATGCTACAGGCACTCTGAAAAATCAGAGATACCTGCAATGTCCCCAGAGTTCAGTGGGACCCATTATTGCCTTCAACCCTGTCATGATAGATGCTCCTTAGGAGAATTTATAGAACTTGAGTGCATTATGTGCAGGCTGCTTTGGTGGGTTATGAGGAAGAAAGCCAGTATTCTTAAAGTGCCCACAGTTTAGTCGTAATGGGAGAAATCTACAAATAATTACCATTTTTGTGAAAGGCCTACATGCCATGACAAGGCTTTTGAACTCGATTCTGTGGGCAGTAGAGTACTGTGGAAGGTGTATATGAAATGGGATGAGTGCCAGACCAGAGAATAGTACAAAGTGCTGCAGGAGAATGGAGGAGGGAGAGGTTAATTCTGGATGGAGGAGAGTCAGGAAGGTTTAATGGCAGAGATGGCATTTGAGCTGGGCCTTTGAGGATGGGTCAGATTTGTATATAGGGAGATAAGGAGAGTAAGTGGGAAAGTACAGGTTATCCCTGGATAAAGGGCATAATCAAGACCAGCTGGGAGAATGAGGAGTGTTATATGTTTAGTGAAAGTATGGAAAAGTCGTTGGGACAAATTGTGGAGTCTTGAATGCCAAGCCAAGATGTAGCCTAAGTTGAGGAGGGATGTGATGAAGGTGTGAAGTCCTCCTGTATGCTTCCTCCTGAAATTTCTCTCAAGTCTGTCCCCTAGCTTTTAATCCCCATTGCCTTTGCTCTGGGTCCAGTCCACATTACCTCTTGCCTGGACCATTCAAACAGCTCCTGCCTGATTGCTCCTCTTCCTCACCTTCTCCAATGTTCTACATCAACGTAACCTTCCTAAAGTACATCTCTCCATCAATGTTTCTCTCTTTCTTTCCCTCCCCTCCCCTCCCCTCCCCGGACTCTCGCTCTGTTGCCCAGGCTGGAATGCAGTGGCAAGATCTTGGCTCACTGCAACCTCCGCCTCCTGGATTCAAGTGATTGTCCTGCCTCAGCTTCCCGAATAGCTGGGACTACAGGCACCTGCCACCACGCCTGGCTGATGTTTTTGTATTTTTAATAGAGATGGGGTTTCACCATGTTAGCCAGGATGGTCTCGATCTCCTGACCTTGTGATCTGCCCACCTCACAGTGTTTCTCTTTTGCCAACAAAGTAACATCTAAAGTCCATGGCTGGGTAGTTCAAGCCCTCTTTTCTCCCATGCAATGCAGCCTGCATTTTCAGCCTTCACTCCCTCTTTATGAACCTTATGTTTCCTTCAGTTCCTTCAGGGTGCTTCCCTCACCCTGTCCTCTATGCACTTCTTGTGAGGTAAGAGAACATGGTAATAATAATTACATAGACTCTGCAGCCATACTTTTTGAATTTAAATCCCAACTCACTGACTACTAACCATGTAGGTTTGGCGGAAGTTACCTGTCTGTGCTTCGATTATTCCCAAAATGGGGATGATAACAGCACCTATTGCATAGGAGTGTTGTAATTACTCAGGGAAGCATCATATGTAAAGTTTTAAGAACAGTGCTGGGCACTTAGTAAGTGCTCAAATGCTAGCATAAAAATTTGAGATTATGCTTATTTTCTAACTACTGTTATTTATGCTGTTGCTCTCTCGAATACCCCTTTTCCTGCTTGTTTCCTAAGAGAATCCTGCCCGGTTCAAAATGCCCCATCACTAAGCTGGCATTACTTTTTCTCCTCCCTTAGTTGAAAGTGATTTCTCTCCTATTTTCATGACTTCTTACTTTCTTTTTTGTAATATGGTTATTTATGTGTTTACCTTGCCTTCCCTGGCATATTGCTAACAGGGTGAAGACGGGATCGAAGTGTGGTTCATTTTGGTAGCTCCTGCCGTACTCGCACTCTGAAATTATTAGAATGACTGGCTGATCAGATGAGTACTTCAGAAAGATAATAACAGTAAAAAGGAAAGATTAGGACTGGAGGGGGCTGAAAGGCAGGGAGCCCACTTAAGAGGCTGCTATGATCCAGGCTGGAGGTGGTGAGGTCTCAGCAAGTGACGGGAGGAATAAAATTGAGGCCATAAATCTTCAAGTGTCTGAAGACTACAAGTGTCACATGACTACACCTGTGCTCCAAAAGTTGGAAAGAATATACAGAGGAAAGGGGTTTCTGTCAGATTATGAGTTCTCTTTTACTTACTTACAGTTTGTTCTACAGCATGGTTTCTTCTTCTGTGTAATAGTGTTAGATTGCTTTTCTTCTGTGGATATTAACTGTATCTGTTATCTGTAGACAGCTGTGATATGTTGATTAACTGGAAGCTCTTTTTCAAACAGAAAAATGAAAACCGATTTTATCTGAAGGAAGTGAACGTCAGCATGTATTTGGTTAATGGCTCCGGTAAGCGAAGCATTGGCCTGGGGAAAAAGACTGTGGGTTACCCTGAAGGATTAGAAATTACAGTGGTCTTATTACCAAATTGTGCCTTATTTAATGAAACAGAAGATGCTATGTAAAAAGTGTGCCTTGATCATACCTTAAAATCAGTAACTTAGAACTATGATGTTCTGTCTTTTTCTGTATCCCATCTTTTCAAAGTATGGTAGGTAATAATTAAGGATGTAACTGATTTTTAGACTATAGAAACATCTATAGAAAGGTAAGGGAACCTAGTGATTGTAAGAATTGCTTTTTGTGGGTTGATCTTGTCCCCCAGGCTCCCATGCTTCACTGAAAAACCCTGAGGACTGTTCCTTTTTTTTTTTTTCTCTTTTTTTTGAGACAGGGTCTCACTCTGTGCCCAGGGTAGACTGCAGGGGCGTGACCACAGCTCAATCCCAGGTTCAAGCCAACCACCCACCTTAGCCTCCCAAGTAGCTGGGACTACAGCTGTGCACCATCATGTCCAGTTAATTTTTTTTTTTTTTTTTTGGTTTTTTGTATTTTTTGTAGAGACAGGGTTTTGCCATGTTTCCCAGGCTGGTCTTGATCTCCTGGACTCACGTGCTCTGCCCACCTTGGCTTCCCAAAGTGCTGGAATTACAGGCGTGAGCCACTGTGCCTGGCCAACTTTCCCATTTTTGATGTTGATAGGATAAGAAGTTACTAACCTGTTTCTTTTCTTTGAAGTTTTCAGCATTGCAAATAACAATCTCAGCTACTGGGATGCCCCCCTGGGAAGTTCTTATATGTGCAACAAAGAGCAGACTGTTTCAGTGTCTGGAGCATTTCAGATAAATACCTTTGATCTAAGGGTTCAGCCTTTCAATGTGACACAAGGAAAGTATTCTACAGGTAAGAATCAAGCAAACTTCATTAATAATTTATGTTCTTATGTTGACTGATAGGTGGCTTTTCCTTTGAATCACAGACATTTAAACGTTGAAATAGAGGAATATGAATTCACCAGAGGTCTCATAGCCTTGAGCAAATTGTACACCTCTATATTTGGCTCACCATTTTGCTCAACCGAGATGTTTTTGTGATCTTAAAATCATTTGCAAAAAAGTTCTTAAAGCTAAAAACTGATAGAAGCTTTAAGTGAGCTTTATTTGAGGTATGGGTTTTAGTTTGTAGAGAAGATGGCACTTGGGAGCGGCAGCTTTGAGCATGTTGCATCTGCTTCCTGAGGCCGTCTTCTCACTGGAAACATTTTCATACCTGAATGAAAGCAGTTTGGTCTGATTTTGTTAAGACAAAAGATAAAAGAGTGGTAGCAAAACCTCAAATATCATGAACTATGTTTTTACAAGCCAAAACGATCTGGAGAGTTTTCAAAGCATGTGCCAGTGTGAATGAGGCTTTTTGAAGATCACTCAGGGCTAATGGTAGTATTTATTAGATTTTTAATGAAACCCTTGTGAAGGGTTCATTATAATGTGTTCATACGAATATGAAAGACATATTTGGCATTATAAGATTAAAATTTGCATGAAGAAAAAAAGCACGTAAAATTCTTTAATTGACTTGTCCTTTTAAGCCCATTACCTAAAATTGGGGGTTTGTGGATCACAACTCTGTTGAGCAGAGCTATTCCAGTCATCCACATACTTTTCAACCATTAATTCTATGGTTTGGAAGGAAATGTGGAAGCTGTGTTTAGAAGCGAATATACTGTGAGCCAGTTGACTGCTTTTGCAGTGGTGTTGAATACCTAGTCTGACTTGGTTAGGCCACAATAAATTGGGCTTTCCACCCTACCATTCTTGTGGTTAAAGACGTTAGTTACACTTTAAAAATATTTTCAAGTATTCATTTTCCCTTTTGCCTGTTTTGCTTATGCACTTCAATTATTTTGATCCTTTACTAGCTTTATTTTTGGACTTTTTATTTGGCTCCCCTTCATTACTCCCCTAATTTTAAGATCAGATTTGTGTTTACAGTTTAAAATCATTTGCAGTATTAGTATCATCACTTCAAGACGGTTTATCTAGTCAACTGTAATAGAGATGAGCTATGCTCTTTCTCTCACTTTGAAACTTTGGTTTTTATGTACGTAGAATTAAAAATATCACCCAAAGAGATATACAACATTTAATACTGATATTGAATGTATAATCTATTCGTGGAACTAGGTTCTTGGCTGTGGGTACCTATAAATACAACACATAGGTAATATTTGACTGTAAGGGAAAGAAATAGAATTGCAATAAGGCAGAAGAGTGTTGATTGGATTTTACTGGATCAGACCACTTTCTAGAAATAGAAAAAAATAGCCCCTTTAGGCTGCCAACCCTGACCAGATAAGAAATGCAGTAAGCACACTCGAATTAGTAAGAGGTCCCAGTTTCTTGACTTTGCAGCCACTAAAATTGTATGTTCTAAGTCATGATCTGCAAACTTTAAAGTTCCAAACAGTAAGTGTTTTAGGCTTTGGGGCCATATGGTCTCTGTCACAACTATTCAACTCTGCTATTGTAGTACGAAAACAGCAACACATAAACAGATGATGGGCTGGGTTCCAATAAAACCTTATTTATGGACACTGGAATTTGAATTTTATATGCTCTCATGAGTCACAAAATATTTTTTTCAACCGTTTAAAAATGTAAAAGCCCTTTTTAGCTCTTGGACCAGATTTGGCCCATGGGCTACAGCTTGCTGACCCCTGACTCTAAAGGGACTCCAGAGCCAGCCTGGCTATTCTCATCACATGATACCTTCCTGATCCTGTTTCTACTTTCCCAAAAGACACTCATGCTACCACTGAGCGGCTAATCTGGCTATGTAAAAGTGAGCTAGATTAGCTCCCTTAATTTGTGATAAAGTAATACTCCTATTTTGGAAAGGACTTGGAATATAAACAAACATATACGTGTGTGTATATATGTATATGCAAACATATATATCATATATATAATGTGTGCATTATATATCATGTATATAATTGCATTATATATCATGTATATAATGTGTGCATTATATATATCATGTATATAATGTGTGCATTATATATCATGTGTAATGTGTGCATTATATATATCATGATATATATATTATGATATGAGCTGTGTTTATAGATGTAAATGAATATGCATGTATTCATATATATGAATACATATATACACATAAACAAATGAAAGAACAAAGTCTTAGAATTTTAATTCTAGAACAGTTCTCCATTTTCTATAGCTTTATCATAAAAATATACCTGTCTTAGTTACTTGAAGTTGATCTTGTAAGAACATTTCTGACTTTTAAATCAACATCTTTTACTTTAGGGCATTCTTTTGTGATTATACTCATTATTTGTTACACACTTTTTCTCACCTACAGCCCAAGAGTGTTCGCTGGATGATGACACCATTCTAATCCCAATTATAGTTGGTGCTGGTCTTTCAGGCTTGATTATCGTTATAGTGATTGCTTACGTAATTGGCAGAAGAAAAAGTTATGCTGGATATCAGACTCTGTAACACTAATCAATACGTGATCTCTGTTACAAAAGAAAAAAGCAAGTACAAGTTCCAACATGCAATACTGGTCAATTTAAGGTATATTTAGTTGCAGTCCGGCTCTTTAGAATGGGTGGTGTGGGGGATTTCAAACTTAAACAAAAAACTATCAACTACAAATTAGTTGCCTGACTTTGGTTTCTCCAACCAAGCAATTTAAAACTTATTTTTACAGCAAAAGATGTGCAAAATCACTGAATTATAGGTTCTGTTTTACTGTCTTGAATTAGTATTTCAGTGTTTTCATTTTAGACATTTAGACTAAAAATACACAGTTTAGAAAAAACAATTTTTGAAAAAGAGATTTTTTTTTTTCCCTGCATGTAGTTGAGTTGGAACAACATGTTCTACAGTGGATTTGTACTTGCTCCTTTTGCTCTTTTTTTTGTGATTTTTGTTTGCAGGTTAACTTAGCTACTTTGGCATTGCTGCATATTTGACCTATGAGAGATATACTAGTAGATTTGAACAAGGGCTGGTATTATGATGTTCTTAGCAATAAATGCTTTTCTAATGCTTTTTGAATATATTTGTATTTATGTGGCTGCAATGACAAAAGATACAAAAGCTTTTTAAAATTTAGAGTAGGTATTAATCTTATTGTTTAATCCTTTTTTAAAAAAACTGGATATTTCAATCTTTTAAATTGCAAGATACAAGACTATTCCAACAGGGCATTTCAATCCATTGTTTAGGTGCTTTAGAGATAATTGCTTGCCAGTGCCAATTGAGGGCATTAGTACTTTGTGCTCATAAATTGGCCTCTGTATGCAGTACTAAAATTAATGCAGATTTCTCTTTAGCCTTCCAATATTTCTTGTTGGTAGTGATGTATTTTATTATTTTCTTTTTCTTAAGAAATGCCAGTGTGTCCTAGAACCTAGATAACGAAGTGCACTTACACTTATAAAATAACTTGCATCTAGGCTGGGCGTGGCAGCTCATGCCTGTAATCCCAGCACTTTGGGAGGCCGAGGCGGGTGGATCACTTGAGGCTACGAGTTTGAGACCAGCCTGGCCAACATGGTGAAACCCTGTCTCTGTTAAAAATACAAAAAATTAGCTGGGCGTTGTGGCAGGTGCCCGTAATCCCAGCTACTCGGAAGGCTGAGGCAGGAGAATCGCTTGAACCCGGGAGGCAGAGGTTGCGGTGAGCTGAGATCGCACCATTGCACTCCAGCCTGGGCAACAAAAGCAAAACTCCGTCTCAAAAAAAAAGGCGAAAAAACAAAAACAAACAAACAAAAAAAACTTGCATCTAACCCAAAAGTCTTGGTCTTCTCTTAATCCATTAAAAAGTTGTTCTTTGTTTCCAGCTTGCATTGATTGCTACAACAGTACTAATTTGGCTTTCACATTTAAATGGTTCTGTGCTAATCAAAACTTTCATTGTTATTATTCGTTATGGTAGAATCATTATTAATTCATGTGCTTTGTGTTCAGTTTTGTGCTCTGAGAGATGCACCAGTTGTCAAATTACCGTGCACCACCTAATGTTTGTAGGAGAAAGCAAAATACATCAGCTTGATAGTTAACACATCAAATATTTCTTGCTGCTTCTGGGAGAACTTCTTTGGTGTGTGTTGGAATGGCAGAGCAAATATTAAAATTGTTAAGATGCAGCCATATATGGAAGGTTCTTTTGGTTTTTTGTTTTTTGGTTTTTTTGGTGGGGGAATTATGTGCCTCCCATTCACTAGAAAATGAGAAAATGTTTGGGTTCCAAAGTATTGATATTGAATGGATCAATACACACACACAGACATATATATATATTTGCACACATATATAGGCAGTTGCATGCTAGCATGTGTATTTTTATAACAATATAACTGAGTTATATTGGAATTACAAATATTTTCTGTCACTTAAATTTGCCCTTTATTTAGCCTGAAAACCTTTGTGGCTCAAGATCAGATTCCTGACTAACCCCTGTCTTAGAGCTACAGTGAGCTGCATTACCAGCTTAAAACACTTCTTAAAGATTAAATATAGATGTGATTTTTCAAAATCATATTTTATTTAAACTGTGTTTTAGTGTAAAATTGTTAACCTTATAAGATGGATAATGCGTATAAGAATGTAGGCCTTAACTATTTCACATGAGTCAAAACAAAGCAGCTTTAAAAAAATAATTGGAAGCACAAGTGTGTGGCACTGACTGAATGCTGTTAATATTTCTAAAAGTTTCTACATTCAGATTATATGCCTGATTCATAGTAAAATACCTCTAATAAACACTGTTTTATAGAAAACCTGACTTCAGTGAATATTTTTGTATTTTACACGGGCCAGTTTATACACTGCTATTTACACTATTATTTCCTATAGCTACGTGTT